ATCCAGTAGCAGCATCTTGTTATTTTAGATCGTTTCCTAATGCCTCAACTTCGTGAAGCAAGTGAAAAACGGTTGAGCATTTCGATTTCAGCATTGCAGCTTTCAGTCATTTTGTCAGCAGGCTGAAAGGAAGCAGAACAATAAAAGTGGCTCGTATTTATATCAGCAGCGACAATCACTTGCAAGATACTTACTTTGGTATTTTAAGCATTCGTTTTTTCGTTACAGCGAATCTTGCTTACAGGCCGTTTGAGGAAATTGCGCGTTTTAGCAGCCAATTTCAACGAATTCACCGATATCGCCGCACTTGCAGCATGCAAATCACTTGTGGAACTTTATTTAACCAACAATAAAATCGAGGTTTTCATAAAATCTTTCTCTGTAAAATTATGGACCTTGGCATAGTGTTGTGTGGAACTGAGTGACGTGGGAAATGATCTGATTAGGAAGGCCATTAGCAGGAAAAGGGCGAAAGTTATTCCCGAAAACAGAAACAAAATGGGAGTACAGCCAATACAACTAGACACTAAACTATTTATGCATAAGGCGAGGGACAAAGGGAAACGGGGGAGGGAAAGGAACTGACAAAAGGAAACAAAAGAGGAAAACAAATAATTTATGCAGCCTTCTGCAGTAACAAAATAATTAAAAGAATTTGCAGAAGTTACCACACACGATTGGAATGCTAAAAAATTTGGAAATGTTATCGGTGGATGAGAATGAACTTACCGAATTGCCACCAGAGGTAAACCCTTCAACGCTTCGTATTCATTGAATTTGTTAATACGTTGCACTTCCTTCATCGTTTTCAATTTATTTTTGTAAAACTGTAATTTTGCAGCAAATGTACCGGGACACATTTAGCATTTTTCGTTAGGAAATTTGACAAGAGGAGGAGGATTGCCAGCCGATTAGATAAAAATAGTAGTTGATGTAGCTTCAGAGAAAGCATCTGTACTGATGGTTTTGCAAAGGGGCATTACAGTGGAACGATTGTAGCATCAAAGCACTAAAGTAATTGTCCCTTCGAGCTTTTTAGCACGAACGCAGAAAAATTAAAAAGTGAGAAATGTGACGAGGAAAGACAGCTAAGCATGTCAAACTTCTCTACGATGGCTGGGAGCTTCACGTTTTGGCAAGTAGTGTCGTCCATCCTGTTGTTTGTGCTTTTGGTTCAAACAGGCCCCTGAAAGAAATAGGGTCTTTACA